AGCTCTTAGCTACATGTTTCTTCTTTAGAACTAAAATTCCATAACAAAAATGTCTGTTGACTGCTCACAAAGCTCTAAAGTTTAACACAAGGCCATAAATTCAGGAGCAGTGTACCCACGCACAGTCCAGTGATGCAAGAATGAAACCTACCTACACTTTGGCATAGGGGATACCAAACAAGGAAAGAGAGAATAATGGGTGAGCTCAGCTCCTTCAGTTGCAGGGCATCAAAACTGCTCCCCATGGGATCCTGTGATATCCCTTCTGCTCTTGAGTCCGTTTTGCGGGTCTTCCTTTTGCCCTTCATTTTCCTAATATGAGAAATTTTCAGCAACGTTGCTCTTGGAGGTCCCATTCTTGCAGCTACGTCCGTAAGAAGCTGTCTGGAGAGTCAGTCACTCTTCCCATGTTACTGGTTGATGTTCTGGACGTGAAAAAACAGAACAGTGCAATTAGTTCAAATACCTATAAATAAAGTTATAATGCTTTAGTAACAGACGTTGCCTGCAGATCCAATCTCTTTAGGGACCTTACCAGCAGAATCCTTGCCCATTTGGATTATTTTTTAGCGCTTCCCACTATAATCAAAAATTAAAATAAAAATACTCAGTGTTTAATAAGGGAGGGTGTTCCATAGTTCTCTAAAAAAATATATATTTTTTTTCTTTTTAGACCATAGTTGGAAGTATAATACTTGGAATTATTTTAGATTAAATCTTTTAAGCATTTTTCTTTCACTGGCTTACATTCTCCTTGAGCATGTCGAGCAAACAGGTTGCCTCTGATGCCATAGTTCCCACGGTACGATGACTATAATGCAAGTTGGAGGAATAACTGCATTTGCAACCCTGTTACTGTTTTTATTTGCTCTGAAGACAAAAGTATCCTGCACTTGGGTCACAACCACCCCATGCAGCGCTACAAGCTCGGGGAAGCGTGGCTGGAAAGCTGCCCAGCGGAAAAGGACCTGGGGGTGGTGGTTGACAGCTGGCTGAATATGAGCCAGCAGTGTGCCCAGGTGGCCAAGAAGGCCAACAGCATCCTGGTGCGTATCACATATAGTGTGGCCAGCAGGGCTAGGGAAGTGATTGTACCCCTGTACTCAGCACCGGTGAGGCCCCACCTCGAATACTGTGTTCAGTTTTGGGCCCCTCACTACAAGACAGACACTGAGGTGCTGGAGTGTGTCCAGCAATGAAGCTGGTGAGGGGTCTGAAGCACAAGTCTTATGAGGAGTGGCTGAGGGAACTGGAGAAAAGGAGGCTGAGAGGAGACGTTATCACTCTCCTCAACTACCTGACAAGAGGTTGTAGCAGGGTGGGGGTCAGTGTCTTCTCCCAAGTAACAAGCAATAGGACAAGAGGAAACAGCCTCAGGTTGTGCCAGGGGAGGTTTAGATTGGATATTAGGAAAAAATTCTTCTCTGAAAGAGTTATCAAACATTGGAGCAGGCTGCCCCGGGAAGTGGTTAAGTCACCATCCCTGGAGGGATTTAAAAGATGTGTAGATGCGGGGCTTGGGGACATGGTTTAGTGGTGGTTTTAGCAGTGCTAGGTTGATGGTTGGCCCTGTTGATCTTAAAGGTCCCTTCCAACCTAGACGATTCTACAAAATAATCTAAGCTGTCACGATTTTATTAACAGCTTTACATCTGTTTTATTGAGTTACTCAATTTCTACTAGTCCTGTTTGCATCTCCAAAACTAGCAATGCTCACAGTAAAAAAAATAAAATAAAGTTGAGTGGTCTGTGCCAGAAACTGTTAAACTATCAGGACTGATCCCACTCTTCCACAAATCTGTCCCAGCTCCATTCTTCTGTCCACAGGTTTGCTATACTGAGGGCAAGAGAAGTCAAACCCTGCCAGTGGAATGTAATGTATTTCAAAACTGGTTTTTCTCACGAACATACTACCATTTCTCTGTTCCTTTCTTAGACCCTCTCTTGGAAATGCTGATGAGTATCAATAGGAAGGCAGCAGCAGCTGGAAGTCAGTTTAAGAAGTTAACAAAAACAGAATTAGAAATCAATTAAATCTGTTCTGTGGAATTATTCAGTTTGTTAACAGACCAAGAAAAGGAGCAAAAGCTTAAGTCAGCTGCAATAATTTCAGGATTTATGCATGCCACTGATGTTAGTTTTCTAATCACCATCCCTAACAACAAATTTGGAGGGTTCAAAATTTTGTTGGCCAACTGCAGTTAGACAGCCTCGCTGTGCTTGGTGTCCTCAAGAAACCCTGACAAGCATGACCATGTCAAACACCTCAGGCACTCTGCTGATTATTAGGGCAATGGTCTGTATCCTTATAAATTCATGTCTAAGTGATTTACTTGATGGGCACTTATTAGGCACACTGAGATGAGTTAGCCCATACCTTACAGTACCTGTAATCACTCTGTCAGGAGTAGTACCCGTAGCTTCATATCACACTGCAGCAAACAAAATAAAAATGTTCAAATGCAGAGCTCCTTTTCAGCATTAGGAAGTCTGGCAAAAATATTTAGAAAACAAGTTTTATGTTTCATCAGCTGACAAGTAGATATTTTTTTTCCTGTGTGATTTTTTCCTATTTCATTCCCTGATGAATGGCAAGACCAGACAGCTAAAAAGGTATTTAAAGTTCCTGTGAGTTGTCTCATAAGAAAAAGTTCCAAGTCTTGCATCTTCCCAAACCAAATAATTATCTATCACAGTTAGGTAACAGAACTGACACAGATTCACATTTGTTCTAGATTACCTACTACATCTTTTCATAATTTTGTTTTTATTGTGCCGTTCTTTTTCCATTTTTTAAATCTAATCAGAATGCAGCTTTCTTAAATGTAGTGCTGCTAGTGATTCAAATGCAGTGAGGCAGGCCATTTTCATTTCATTCTGGCTTTCATTCACAGTTGCAACGCTCACAGTTCTTTGCTTTTTCTTACAGAAGTTCCAGGTTACATATCCTCTACCTGGAGCTCTGCTTTTTGCTACTGTAAGTAGAACGTTTATACGGCATACTATTTTTCGTAGAGTAAGACAGTATGTTGCCCCAAACTCTTTTCTTTCACTTAAGCTTTCAAACTACATGTCTAACGCAAGGCTGCAGTCAGTCCACTCTCTGGGTATGATCTGCTGTTTGACATAAGAGGGTGCCGAGATATGCGTATCAGCAGGTCATTCTGTGAAACCAACTTCAAATCATAAACCATACATTCGTATTTCTCTAAATTGTCCCTTTTATATTACAATTTATTGACAAATAAGGCAAATGGCTAGCAAGCACTTTTCATTTGGTGTAAATTGCAGAAACTCAAAAGAGCAAAACAATGTAAGCATTGTTTGTCTTCTTCCCTCTTCCTACATGGATTTGACAAGGAAAGCAGCTGAACTTGAAGGTCAGCCCAGAGAACAGCAAAGCTCCGTGGATAATGCCGAGGCAGCACAGGGACTTTACAGTGATCCCACGTGAAAATCTTGTGGACTGCAGAGAAAGGAAGGAAAACATCTGAGTGTAGGGAGCCACTCGGGTTACTGTAAATTTCTTTTAAGAGTCATTATTTTTACTTTCTTATGGTTGTTAATTTAATAAAGATAAATCAGCAAAAAAGAAATCTAGAGGAAGTGAAAGGAAAGAAAGGAGAGGAAGGTCAGCAGCCAGGTCACCTTGGGATGAATTACTGCAACACACTGGACACAGGCACACATCTCATATATGTAGCTACTAAAGTTACTCAAGATTTAACTCTGCATTAGTATTATACTGCTGATTTCTGAGCATTTTGAACTATTGACAGTATCCCTTAAATTCAGCACCTACTCCCTTAAGGTTGACTACGCTTCCTTGTATTTGAAGAGGGCAGAACTGCAGCTGCAGACTGAAACAAATGTATCTGGTTCCTGCTGTCACCGGTCCCGCTGTATTAACAGTTGTCAATACCTCTGACTTTCAAAATATATTTAATCTTTAATCAAAGCTTTTCGGGAAGTTAAAACATAAGCCTCGTGCAACTTTTATAGACCTTCATACAATACACTAAAGCTGATTTGGGGCTTCTGGGTGCTAAGGTCACATATGTCCAAAAAAGACAAAAAAAAAAGCTGAAAAGAGCTATAAATGTAAACTATAAGGCTACTTACAGCTCTTATGCTTCCCAGGCAGGAGGAACCACTAACCCCAGGGAATTCAGGCCATGCAAGCACATCTCGGTGTCTGGAGCAGACTGGCTTGTAAAAAGCTTCGTGCAGAAAACTTTAACATTGGTATTTTAGTATGTAGCATTTTCCCCTGTTACACTATTTAAATATATTTATTGCTACACTGAGACTGTCAATATATAGAAATAGTCTTTATTTCTCTTAGCAAATGTTTGGGTTTTTTTCATTTGAACTGCTTGAGGATTTTTTTCTTACCATCATTAACTGCAAAGACCGAGATAAGACTTTAAAATCAATTTTAAGAGACCAAGCTAACACACACACAAATAGTAACAACGAGAAACTCAAATCATATGTTAGTGTTAACTTGCTCAGGAAATTAAGATACATTTCTGTTACAAGGATGCCAGGATGGCAAAGCCAAATAACATTAATTTTTAAATCTGCTTCCAGCTTTCCAAGAAATGTGTCCCCCTATGCAAGCAAAGTTTAGCAGGAAGCTACAAACATAATCCCACATTTTAGATTCAGCGGAACAAAATTCCCTTAGAAGGTTCAAAATAGAGTACCACCTTGCGGATGACAGGTCTTGGTCTGAAGAAAAGAAATCCAAGTAGATCACTCCTCTCCAGTGTAACAGAAAACTGTTAATTGCATCACTGACCAACTTTAGTAGTTGAAGCTAGTCTTAAATTATTTAAGGAGTAAATAAAAACTGCTGTCAGACTTAACTAAATTAAATAAGTATATAAAGTGCTGGATGATCAAGAGTATGTCTTTTAACTTCTTTTCTGGAAAATAAGTTAGAAAATAAGAACACTAAAGGCAACTTTCAGAAGTCAATTATTTGCTCACCCAAGTCGAAGACGATGTGAAACTTGTGGTTTTGTCCCAAAATGAGCAATAATGTCTGAAGAACAGAGCACAGAAATGACGCGTCAAACGGAAAGAAAACTTCCACTTTAAAGATCTGATATAATTTAAAATAAATAAATACCATAATCCACAAAGTAAAATGAACGTTTTATAATTTTTTTAAATGTCTTGTATGGGGTTCACAGACCTGAGAATACACCCAAAATAACTCGTCCAAAGTATTCCTTTAAAAAATTATAAATTATTGGTAACAGTTTCTTTAATGGAGATTGCAGGAGTAGGTCCCACATGAGTCCATATATAGCCCTTCTCTGGTCTTGTAGGAACAGTAGGGAAGGGAGATGATCGAGATTTGAAGTATTCTGAAGGCGCATGGCAAACAAATTCTAAATATTCCATTTTCCTTGGAAGATCTTCTTCTGGTCCTAGGAAAAAAATAAAAAAATCTTCAAAGACAAAACTTAGAGGCGTAAAACTGGAGTACGTAGGACTTAAAAACATGCAACAACAGCCAACATACCTTAAAGAATGTGCCTTTTCAATCAATGATTTTCTGGCAAAGTAGCCTCAAATACTAGGCAAGAAACCTCTACTTTTATTTTTGCTGGACTGATCTTTTTTTTTTTCCTTCCACTTTTTCCCCATTCGAAGCATTCACTTCTTTGAGTGATGTATTTTAGTTAATGTACTTTAAATAGATACTATTTGTGGCCTTCCTGTCAAAAGGACTTTACTGAATGATTAATAATTTTGTAATCAGTAGCAGAATAATCTGTATGCCAGTGCTTGCATGCTACGTATTTTAAGTACTCAAGATGAAGATCAGCTAATTCAGGTCACTTTAAAAGAAACAGCTTGGACTAGTGTATGAGGCTTATACTGTAATGACTTTGATTCTATCTATGGAGTAATAATTTGATCTTTAAATTTCCAAGACTATAATTGTGCCCGTGAGCACAAATACTCAGATAATCACACTCACTGCAGTAGTGCTAATCATATTATATATGTAAGATAAACAAACAAACAAAAAGGCTATTGAAGTAAACAAGATGCTTACAGAATTAGGGTCTAAAATGTGGAAATTGCATAAATGATCCCAACAAGCTAAAAAGTTCATTTAAAGAAATACAACTCTGCATTAATCTAGGCACCTACAAGTAGTTGTATAAAATGAAGGCTTAAAGACTACCTATGATATAGGATGCTGGGTCAAAACAATCTTTGGGGCTGGCTTGCGTAGGAATGAGCCAGGTTAGTGCAGCACTCTTTTCACAGTATTGGTCCTGAATAAACCCACGGATCTGAGCGTAGTATGTTTTTCCATCCTGCTCATCGACCACTGAAACCACATCTCCAATTTGATAGTATACACCCTAGAAGACATACAAATGATAACTAAATCAAACAAGCTGATTTTAGAAACTTCATTCTGTGATTCTGATTCATGAGTACCTTATGTATCAGTATCTTAAATTATCTCAAATTGCCTCCATCTTGAAAGACAGCCTTAATTCAGCCACTTGCAAAAGAACAGCAGCATAACATAGAGTGCTCTCTCACCTAAGCAGTCATCAGCACTGCTTAGGCACAATCGGACAACATCTACGAGTCTGAGTTCAACATCTAGGAGTCTGCATTCAGTCACAGAATTGCTTTTAAGACTAGACAGGCAATTCCACATGGTCTCTGTCTGCCAAATGCCTCAGAAGTAACCTGGCCTCATCTGACTTCAAAGACACAGCTCTTTCAGCTGCTCTACATCCCCTTCTCCCAGGACTGCCACACCTCCAGTCTGCAGAGTGGTGATGGTTTCGTTCTGTCAGAAGCAGGAGAGTGCAACAGCACCTTCTAGAAAAAGTAACTGAAGTAATTTCCCTGTGTGTGCAGGGAAAGCAGCTTTCTGTGTATGAAGAAGTTCACTCATTTGAATGCAAAGGAGTACCAAAACACAGATCCACCTCTGGCCACTTTCCATGGTGCTCTGTAACGTGTGAGGCTGTGCAGCAAAGGCAGCTCACTTCATGTTACAACAGCGTCGCACAGCACAATGCAGTGCCTGCACTATCAGTATCAGAGTTTGACAAGCATCATCCAGGATGCTTTGTTTTTAAAACAGATTTAAAAGACATCAAAAACCTCAAACAACCCCCTTCTCAACAACACAGCGAAGTACCAAAACAGAAACATTTTGCATAAAGAGATCAGGTTAAATAAAACTTTGACATCATTCTTAGGAATTTCTGAGAAAAAGAAAAAACAACCCAAAACCAAAAATACGCAAGAAAAAACATCAATTCTCTTCCAAACTAGTCAACAGCACACAGAGATTCATCCGGGATGCGAGACATGATGCGCCAGGTCTCTAGAGAGTATACAGAAGCTCAGGCTACCACTTCTCCTCTGGATGTGCAGTCTCCCAGTGGCTATCCTGACCTTTCCTCTGGGGGAAAAGACATTTCAGATGGTTTGTTTGTACTACTGGGAAACAAAAGCAGAACTTCAGAACTTCAAAACACTAACACCTTGGCATGCTGGTAAAAATGCTCTCAAGCATGAAAGTGAGGAGGCTGGCTTCTGCTTTCATTGCAATAGTCAACAGATCTTGTTCCCAGGGTGTTTGAGTCTGCTTGCACTCAGCTCTGAAACCGGAGCCAGTTTAGACATTAGGGCAGCACAACCCATCCCCTCTACTGGCAATATTCTCTGTGCCTAAGGTAGGAAACACCACACAAATTTAAATAATCAGCTATAGTCACTTTTGCTTGACCTCTTCACAGTGAAAGTTTAAAAGTTTAAAAACCTTGATTGCAGTAATTATTACGGAAACCAGATGCATTTTTTTCTTAGAATAAAAAAAAAGGGGACAATGACAACTATGTAAACTACTGTGGTAAACTGCCTTGCAAGACTTAACAGCAATGATGTAAAGCAGAGCAAAAGCCTACACAACTACTAAGCAAGGAAGAACAGTTTACGTGAATATATCCCTAGTGCTTTCACTATTGGTGACAATTTTTGAAATCGGAAACAGAAACAGCAAGCTCTTTTTTGCAAACAAACTTGCACAAACCATACCTTATAAAAGATTGATTCTGCTGTAATTATAGTGGATACAGACTCGGGAGCCTTGATGGGCTAAGGAAAGAACAGAGAAATGGAAAATCAATAGCATTAAAACAAATCATATAATATAATTTACGGTTGGGGTGTTTTTTTTTTTCCTTTTAGACAACATACTGATACGGTATCTTCTTAGAAAATTAGTAAACACAAGAAATTGGGTGCAAACATTTGAAACGTTTCTACTTTAAAACAATAAAGTTAACGTTATACTTTTCAGGATTTTAAGTGGAGAAGTGAGTACTAAATTCACACGACTGGTTTGTATTTACACTAAACTCCTTCCCTCCAAGAAAGCAGCCTGGAGGACTGGACGCTGCGCGGAGGGGTGAATCACACAGGCAGGCGTGCCCGTGCTACTGAGGAACAGACCCACTCCGGCTCCGGCAGCGATTCCAGCCGCTTCTTATCCAGGTTTCAGGCTCATTTTGCGACGGGAGCTGCACAACCCCGCGCTGGGGTCCCACGTACCGGCGCGGTG